GGGTCAGAGAGAGGGAGACACAGAATCTGAAACAGGCTCCAGGCTCCAGGAGCTGTCAGCACAGAGCGTGAGATCATGACCTGAGCTGAAGTTGGACGCCTAACCGGCTGAGCCACCCAGGCGCCCCAAGCATGCAACTCTTGATCTTGGGGTTGTGAGTTCGAGCCCCTTGTTGGGTGTAGAGAGTAGTTAAAATCTTAGGGACCCTTGGGTGGTCTAGTCTGTTAAGCGTCCAAATTCGGTGCAGGTCACGATTTCATGGTTCGTGGGTTCAAGCCCCCTGTCAGACTCTGCGCTAGCAGTCTGAAGCTCCTTGGGCTTCTCGCTCTCCCTCTTTTTCTGCCCATCCCCTGCTCATGCTCTCTCTCTCCCTCTTTCTCTCAAAATAAATAAACATAAACAACAACAAAAAAACTTCCTAAAAAATATTGCTTTGGGGCATCTGGGTGGCTCAGTTGGTTAAGCATCTGACTCCAGCTCAGGTCATGATCTCATGGTTTGTGGGTTCAAGTGCCACATCAGGCTCTGTGCTGACAGCTCAGAGCCTGGAGCCTGCTTCAGACTCTGTGTCTCCCTCTCTCTCTGCCTCTCCCCACTCATGCTCTGTCTCTCTCAAAAATGAATAAACATTAAAAAAAATTAAAAAATAAATAAATTAAATATTGCTTTATTCACCTACATATACCTAGTTTTTGGTAATCACTCCCAATTGACACCCAATGCCCAGAATGGTGATTCTTATATAGGAGGCACTGAATACATATATGTATTAATTGGATATATTAATAAATGCATCTTTGGGACCTAAAGATGAGTAAAAAACCAATCCTTCAAGGTGCTCACAGTCTAATGGGAAAAAGAACAAACAAGATGAAACACTTAAGACTGGCCCTTTATCAGGGGAATGAACAAATCCCAGCGGGAAGGGTGACTGCTTGTGGTCGGGGGTTCAAAAGAGTGACAAAAGCTGTGACAGAAGAAAGCACATTTGAGCTGATTCTAGAAGGATGAGATAGGAGTTGGATAGAGCTCGCCAATAGAGGAACAGTGATAATCAACAGTTTGGTATATGAAAAGTCCTGCTCTGTGAGGCTGATTAAAAATACTGAAGGGTTGGGGTGCCTGGGTGGCTCGGTTGGTTAAACGTCTGACTGGCTCAGGTCATGATCTTAGGGTTCATGGGTTCAAGCCCCACATCGGATTCTGTGCTGACAGTTTGGAGTCTGGAGCCTGCTTTAGATTCTGTGTCTCCTTCTCTCTCTGCCGCTCCCCCACTCACACTGTGTGTGTGTGTGTGTGTGTGTGTGTGTGTCTCTCTCTCTCTCTCTCTCTCTCTCTCTCTCTCTCAAAAATAAACAAACATTAAAAAAAAACAAACAACCCTGAGGGGCTGGGATGCCTGACTGGCTGTCTGTAAAGTATGTGACTCTTAATCTTGGGGTTGTAAGTTCAAGCCTCACACTGGGCATAGAGATTACTTATAAATAAATAAATAAATAAATAAATAAATAAATAAATAAATAAATA